GCATACTGGATTTCTGGGGGCTGCCATTCATCAGCCTGACCCTTATCTTGAAATTTGCTGGTTTCCACTGTTTGTCAACATTGTATTAACTCATGTTATAGAAAGAGCAATAGAACCAATGGATGAGGACTAGTGCCTGTCTGTATTGGAGAGACCATCATTACAGCTATTAGATTTGGTGGATTTGTGTCTGAGAGAAATACTAAAAGAAAATACGACTTTCTCTTTTGGTTTTGAGAGGAGCCAAAGATATCTCTCCCAGATAAATTATGAAGAATCAAATTGAATGTTTTCTTTTGGCATTATTAAACTCATTGGGTTTTTTGGGGGGTTTTGTTTTTTCATGGGTTTTTTTGAAGGGTTTGTGGTTTTTTTTTTGTGCAAGTATCTCATTCTGTTAAATTAATTCCACTGGAAAAGCCTCTTAGTTTCCCTTACAGAATCTCCAGTTTGCTAACTAGTCCTGCGATGATAAGCTATGCTAATACTGGAAAAGTAGTCTTGTCCCTGTACCACTGATGTCCCTTGGAAGTAAAAAAATTAATACCTTGAATAGGGACTTTCTCAATCACATGAGCTGTTTAAGGAATGAAGAATACTTCAATGTAATTTGTTCTTGTTCTTTTTGCAGACCTGTTAGTTTCTCTGAACTTTCTAAATTCCTGCTAATCTCCTACTGGAGGTCTGTAAAGTATTCTATGGATACATGTGTGAGTGCAGGATACATGTGTGGCCTTAACTGTTCACTTTTTAATATTTCTAATGCAAGTATTTCTGGCAGTCTATTAAAGTTGTTCTTTTTAATATACTTTGTTGTATTAGATGCTTGATAAAACAGGATGTGAAAAACGCACTGATTAAACTGTTAAATCATTCAGCCCTGGAAAAACCTACTGTAGCATTCAGTAAACAAGACACAAATAAATCTGGATATGGCATGTGCTGGCTGTTTGGATACTACCCAGCAAGCATTTGTTTTCCTCTTTGAGGAAAAACAGCATAGTTTCAGTTTTCTTACTTCATTAAACTGGCTATCCCCGCAGGAATTTTTTTTGCACACTAGAAGCCCTTCAGAAATTAGATTCGTGCAGCGTGCTTCCCTTCTAAATATAATCTGTCTGCTATAAAGGAGATAAATACTTTTTAAAAAAAATTCTTACTCTCTTTACCCCTTTAATATACTAGTTTAAAAATCCACAGTGATTTTTAACTAGAAATTTCAGTTAAAAAAAAAGGCAGTTTTTTGTTTGTTTTTTTTTTTTTTATGGGAAACACTGAAAAATCTCTTCTGGTTTATTTTTCATGTGAGAAGAGAGGAAGTTTGTGAAATGTGGGTGAAACCTTTTGTGGGGGGAAGTGCCAAGTGGTATTAAGCAAAGCAGTGGCAAAATCATGTGACTAGTAAAAATCATAATCCATTGGGCAGAAAAGTTAGATTCTTTGGCAGGTGGTCTCTGAGACATGCTGACTGATGTACCAGAAGAGGAGAAAATTTGGCTTTTATTCTTGATCTTTGATGATAAATTTCTTGAGGACAGTGAACTGCTGAAGCTGGTGTGTAGAAGGTAAAGCTGTCTCAATGGTTTTAGGCAGGTCTTTAAGGAATTTAAATGACATTCAGTGAGACAGCTTTCAAGGGGAACATAAATTGCCTCAGTTTCCTGGCAGGCTACTGTAAGATTAAAATTCTTTTGGGGTAAATATAAAGATAACTACAAAATACAAATTTTGTAACATATATTTTAATGGTCTAGTGCTACTAGTTTGACGAGAAGCCATTACTGTGTTAACTGCCAAAAACAGGCTGAGAAAAGTAGATTTAGTCATGGTTCAAAACTCATCAACCAAGACCATTCCTACAAGATCAGTGCCTCAAGAATTTGTACATTATAATTGTGGAACTTCACAACAACTGGAAAGCAACAGGAGATTCAGGCTGCCTTGTAGCTGGTACCTACTCAGCCAGGACCGTGGTAGATGACTGAGTAGCAGATGACCCAAGCAGACTTGTTTGGCCAAATCAGAACCATCAGTTTACTAGAATTGTCAACCACAAATTTGGGCCACAAGTAAATGAATCCTATAATAAAAACATTGTTGTCAGTGTATAAAGATCAGCATAAACATCGAGGGGTTACTTACGGATATCCCTGACCTCGATCTTGGTGTGTATCCAGTCCGAGAACCACATTCAGTCGATGCCAGAATGCAGAGCAGTTCAGATCGTGGTGAAGGAGGCTGGGTAGTAAAAACGTAATGAAATGCAAAGACAGCAGACTATTAAGGCTGCAAGGTGTCCTGATAGCTCTGTGTAGCATCTTAAACTGCTTGGAGCCTGGACATTAATTTGGGCTGATTTGGGACTGTTTGCCTGTTTATCTGGCTGTGATGTGTGTGCATGTATTTCTGATGTGCCAGGTATGTCACACGAATGATGCATCTGGCCTTCCTTGACAGCATTTGGGAGTACTTTATAAACAGCTGGCTCAAGCGGCTTGTGGAGAAAGACCTCACAGAACACAAGGTGCAAATTGTATGCCAGTTAGCAAGTTAGACCTCATCGCTGGGAAAAAATCGTGTAAAAGGACAGTGGGAGGAAAGACTCTTTGTCTATTGAAATTAAAATAGACTGGCTGATCAGCTTGTACAAACATCTGGTATAGCTGGAAAAAAGGACAGATTACTGTGAATGAAAGAGTTGATAATAACCTCTTGATAGTAGCCTAGTGTGGAAAGATGCCATGCTGGCCAACCAGGACTTGTTAATGAATGTGTGGGAAAGGCTCCCTTCACCAAAGTGCTGAGTCTATGAAACCCTCTTAAGAATAAATAGGATGCTTAGGTATTCTGCTGAAGAGGAAGGTTTGGCTTATTGAGGTGCAGGATTATAGCACAATGCTTCTAGAACATAATTTATGGAAGGTGTAAGAAAGAATATACAGGTTTTTTGTCTGTCTATGTTCTTACTTAGTTGTTTTTTTTTTTTTTCACAGATGAAAGAAAAGTACAGCCCTTCAAGCTGACTGTCAAATATGGCTGTATCTATTTAGAGGTCTGGCTGTGTTTCAGATTCAGGCGGAAGTGTGAGAAGTGAGATGTGTTAAAGAGCTGTGAGGTGTACACCAGATTGTCACTGAGAGGCTTTTCCTTCATTCAGGCTTTAGACAGAGGGTGTCAAGAGGGTGGAAAGCAGCTACTAACAACGGTAGTCACAGCCCATACATAGAGATTCTCATGGCAATAGTAGAAAGAATATGTCAATGGGGAAATAAAGGAGAGGCTGTGAATTCTGCTCTCTTTTTATGAATGTGTTGTCTTGACCTCAAAAGTCTGGAGAAATTCCATTGCATGCAGAAGTGTTACAAGAGGGTACATGTTAAAATCAAGTCTGGACCCTCTAGGGTTTAGTTATCCATTCTGTCTGTTGAGCTAGAAAATCATTACTGTAAAATCATTTGTCCTGGCCAGAATGTCAGTATTTCCATAAATTCTGTGTGAGTAGAAATTAGTATTTGTGTCACCTTTAAAGCTGATTAGATAATGAGGACTGTGTGGTACACTGGCTACTAAAGTGCTGGAACCCATAAGGGCATACCAAACTTTCATCTGCCTTTTGTACAGGTATGACCCCTGGGCAAAGGAAAAGTTGAAGAGGTTTTGAAATTTTATAGACCTGACTCTTAATCCTCAGAAGCTGTTTTACTCAACAAAGATGATTTAGATATTTCCTTTGTGCTTATGGGCATCTGGAAAGAGCTTAGGTACTAGGTTAGATCAAGGAAAAGGAAGGACCAGCATGGAGAAATTCTCAAATGTGCGTTGAATTGGGATCCTTATAGCCTACAAAGATCAGTATGCTTTGGCCTTAGGTTGCTACCTAAGATCAGTTTGGGTGAAATCCCTTTGAGGTAGAACGGTGAGTCAAGAGATCTCCTTTTCAATGCTGGCAATTTAAGGTAGTACCCTATTTGAGCTTGGCTGAATTAGATCAACCTGAGAGATATTTGAGCATCGCCAACTACTAAATACTGTTTCTCCTGTTGGCTCATTCAAATTGGCTAGTCCGATATAGCCAGGTATGTAAGCATTTGTTCATGTCCCATTGCCTCTAAAGAGATGTGTGAAGAATGTTCTGTGATAGGCCTGACTGGATAATCTCTGTTGTTCAAAAAAGCAGATTTAGAACTGGTTTGAATTTTGCAAAATAAGCTGGACCCCAAAACACGTGTGGTAGAGTGACATTCAGACATCCTTTAATTCCAAACATGAGACTGAGAGTTCTGCTGCTTTTCTTACTGAGAAGTGAATCAACCATTTAAGTGTCCTAAGAAACAACCCTAAGAAGTAGTAAGACTAAGGTCCAAGGTTTTCTTCAGTCAGTGTATTTGTTTTTGTCATGTGAACTCAATTTATAGTGCAGTGTGAATGGTGATCTCTGGGTTCTGTTGAAATCAAAGAAAAGGAAAGGCAGAACATAATTTTGTTGATTCAGAGTTTGGGAAACCTGAATACCTTGTGCTGTTATTACTGTTTTGATCTGTTTTTCCTCATTTCGTATATTTTATGCCATTTGATTATTAGGTTCCGTGCAAGTTCAGCTCTTGTAAATTCAGTCATTTCTGAGGATATTTCAGCATTTAATACTCTCAATTCCAAAAGAATTGTAAGCATGAAAGCTGTACATTTCATACCACTTTCACAGTAGTGTGTCTCTTTGTGTTTCAATCCCACTGTAGGATATTACCAGCTTGCTTCATACCATCTATGAGGTAGTTGATGCATCAGTCAACCATTCTCCTAGTTCCAGCAAAACTCTGAGAGTGAAGCTTACCGTGGCACCAGATGGCAGTCAGAAGAAGAAGAGTATCTTGTTAAATCATACCGGTAAGGATGTGCAATCAGCCACTGGAAAAAAAATACAAAAAAACCATCAAGCATCCCTTAAACATTCATCTTTGTATTTTGTTAATTTAAAAAAAAAATATTTATACTTAAAGGCAAATAATTATGTGGGTACTTAAAAGCTCATGCACCTGCATTATGATCTTGGGTGCAAAATTGCCTCCTTCCAGTGTCTCTTGAATTACGGTTCCCTCTCCTGATAGATTGTTTCTTTTTGGAAGCAGCAATAACACATTTGTTCTGTAATTGTCTTTGTGTACTGCAGGGCAGCTTTAAGGCCTTCTTGATTTACACGACTTTAACTCCACTGGTACCACAGCGCTCAGTTTGTGTGGAAACAGATGTAATGGTATAAAATGGTTTTTGCCAGTGCATAGCTATCACTGCTGCTGGATGCAGTAAACAATTAAGCATAAATGACCTTTATGAATCTATGCATAAAAATTGCACATTTTTCATTTTTCTGTGCTGGCAGAGTCTGCTGTTGCCTTATAATTTGATGGCTTATATTCACTTTAATAATAACTGTATCATCATAATTACTTCAGTAGTACTAAATTAAAGTACTTAAAAGTATTTAAATGAATACTTCAGTAGAAAATGTGAGCACCTTATCCAAAAGGAGAGCCTTGTTACCTCAGTTTTAATATACATCCACTCAGTCAGGTACAGACATAAGCAAATGTGCGCTGCTGGGGAGCTATATGATGTGTTAGTATAGAATTGAGCTCCACACTGCTGAGTAGTCCAAACTTGAGGGACAAGTACATATCATTGTGAATGTGGCTCATTTTAAGCTGCCACATGGCTTGCAGCCTAACCTTGACTGATGCCCTGGGGTCAAGGTTACGTCTGCCTATAATCTGTTGTGTGGACAAAAGCACTTTTGAGAAGCTTGCATGAAATTATACGTTACATTTTGATCCAGTGACACCAAAAAAATGTTTGCCATGTAGCATGTCACTGATGCTGATCATGAAGGACAGTAATGTGAGAATCATGTACATTTTCTTGTTTGCAGATTTACAGAGTGCCAGGCATAGAGCTGAAAGCAAAGCTAATGAAGAATTAAGAAGCTCTGAGAAGAAGCAGCGGGCTTCTCTCAGGTAAGGAGTTAAAAACCCATGCTCCTGAGAGGCACTGGGTACCTCTGAGGAAATCTCAACCACTGATTTCTTGCTTGCATGAAGTTATATTAAAATAGAGGATTTACAAGGTTTTTCACTGTCAAACCCTCAGCAGATTCCATAGGTGGATACTTTGTATGTTAAAAATTATAAAAGCAAATCTCTAGCACACTTTACTCAAATTGTCTTCTTCTGTTGGCTCTTTGGAGGACATGCAGTTTCTTTCTAGATGCCATCTGCAAATATTGTGTCTGGCAGTGGATTTTATAGCACAGCCTTTTGGCTGAGAGCATCCTAAAACCTTTTCAACTTCATAGATGCCAGCTACTGCCTTTGTTTGTCCTCTTTCCAGCACATCTTTTTCACTGGTCAACTCAGCTCCAAGCTTTAAGTCAATCATTTTTACCAGGTCATAAGCAGACCTGCTTCTCCTTAGCACGTTTCCTTCTAAAGGAAGCAGCTTTGGGCTGGCAGTGGCTGTACACTGCCTAGCAGAAGAAGGAAAGAAGGGAGCTTGCAGCAGAGCAGCAGACAGCTTTACAGCCGATAGTCTGCACAGGCTACGTCCTGCAGTGTAAGCGACAAGGAAGAGCTTCTAGCATGCTGCCTGCTCCATGCCCCATACTGCTGAGGTGGTTCTGGCTTACAGCAGCTGTGGGTTGGCTCAGCTGCACTTCTGAAGTGTGTTTGTACATTTGGTAGGAGAAGCAAATTCATCTCTTTCTTACCTCATACTGACTTAGCAGAGCGGCTGTCTCTGCTGACTGCCATCAACAATGCTTCCCTGCTGCCACATCAACTTTAGGTCAAATTTTCCCTTACACAACTAGTAGTAACACCGATGTAGAAATATAACCTGCTTGCTTAGAACCATTATATTTTATGGAATCTTACAGGAAAATTGGGATAATTTTGTTTATCTTTTCTGGATTGTTTTTTTTTTTTTTCCTATAAGTTTCAGAATACATTGCACCACTTGAAAAAATACCTGTCTGTTGTTGGAATCCAGCCTGTGTGACTGAAAGTACATTCATTTCCAATAAAGCACAAGCACAGTGGTTTCTTATATGAAGAGCTGCAGGTACACTTGCAGCCATCTACAGATTAGATAAAAAAAAAGATTTTAGTTCTTTCCTGACAAGAATGTACAATATTTTTTTGGATGCCAGTCCAGAACAGGCCTTTTTCCTGTAAAAAAATGTGTAATCATGTGTATCTATCTGATGGTCATGAGTTCTAGCTATCTGATGTATATTACCTGCACTGAGCTTCAGAGTATGTGATGATCATTTGCAATGTATTCTTCAAGTATTAAAATTCTTTACAGCTAAGAAAAATCGTAATCTCTCAGTCACATGTAGGTGTGCTATTCCTTTTCTGGATTTGATATTTTAATGGAAGGAAAAACAAATCGAAGGCCGATAATTTTCATGTATTTTAATGTAGATCAGTTGCTCCTAACAGGTCATCGTGGTGTATAGGTTTCATCTCTTTTAGGATTTTATGCTTCATGCTAAGGCAGAGGGAAGTATTTGATGAAGTGGTACAATAATTATATTGAATCATTAGTTGCATTTGTTTCTTCAGCCGCAAATTTTTTTTTAAAAAAAAAAAAATCTACTTTTGGTTTTCCTTGGATTTAGGGATATTTGTCCAAATACATAATAAATTTATTGAGAAAAGGAGCATTCAGTCTTATTGAAAATGACCACAAAACAGTGCCTCCCTTTTTTTAGATAGAGGAAAAATGCTAGTGAGTTGTCCCAGTGAGTAAATCCCAGTACAATCAAATTTCACATTAAAAGAAGACTAAAATGACTTCTAATCTTCTCTTTGCAACTCTGCAAAATCTTCTGTGAACTAAAGAATACTCTGTGGTTTTGCTTACTGGCCTAGATGTGCTGTTCATATTCCTTCTGCCTATTAGCAAAGGTTTGTCCTGTCTGAATTTAATGGACTGTTTTTCTTGGATAATCTGTTGCAAAACTCCCCTCCCATCCACCTTAAAGTTCTGATTTTGCAAATGCAGTGGTTTTGTGAACAGCAGTCACTTCCACGTAAAGCCACAGTCACAAACGTTGGGGTACAATCTCAATTCTGCTGCATTTGTCCTTCTTATCACGTTGGTTGGAGGCTTCCTAGACAGAGCAAGGCTGTACCTTGAACTGAGCAGATCAGCATCTGACAAGTGTCAGCATTTCATAGCTTTTATTGCATCTTATTACATGTGGACAGGACAAAGAATGTCCTGTCCACACAGTGTTTGTCCACCCTGGCCAAATTGCTAACCCTCAGGAAAGCTCCTATCAGAATCTCACAATATTAATTCGGAGGCTTCCCCTTTGAAAGCAGCAATGAGGACTCAAGAGAAGTGCACACATTTCACAGATTCAGTCACTAAGGAATTCTAGGCAAGATATGATTAAAATTCAATATAAAATTGATAGAAATGTTTTTATCCTGAACGTGGGAGGTGGATGGGTTAGATTTTTCATCTGCTGGAATCTACAGGCAGGAGTTTTCAGCCATAGGGCTAATACAAGTATCAAGACACGTAGCTAAATTCACAGCTAGCTTGCCTGGTCTGTGTGGTGGAAAGCAGGTGGTGGAAAGAGCACTGGCAGAGAGCTTTGTGGATTGGGTATCTTTATACCATTCTAGTTTATATTTTGTTCCATGCAACAGGGAAAATATGCACACCAGCCTCTGGAACATCTTCCTTTTACCCACTGATAATGCATTCTTTTTTTCCTGCTAAAGTGATTTCTCCCTGACTGGCTTAAATTTGGTGTTATCGCTGAGCGTGGCTTTCAGGAAACGTCCTTGCGTTTTTCTGTCCTGTGCTCTGTCACTGCTCTGCTCCCTGTTCCTCCTGCATTGCTGGGTGCTTTCTACCATCAGGATGACACTCCAGCATGGGGACTTTAGAAAGGGCTTTCATATGCTCCACAAACACTTGGGCAGATGCCTTTTTTGATTAAAAACCAAACCAACCAACAATCAGCAAAAATGCTGTATATGTAGGTTTTTTTACGCACTGTGCTTGCTGTGTGCTTGTGTCTTCCCTTATGTATGCAGGAGAGCATTGTGGGACTGGATGCCAGACACTTCAGTTCTCAGAAGTATGTGAAGCTCTTCTTGACAGTGGAGCACATATCTCATCAGTATATAATTGCTTCACTGTGTGTTTTTGCATGAATATTGTTGAACGTCATCTTACATGCAAGAAAGCTATTAGAATGCAGGGCTGTAGCAGTACTGGCATAGTTTTTTTTTCACCATGTAGATGAGAGATGGAATTTATTACAGTAACAAAGAAACAGGTTCCCTGTTAACTTAGCTTTCAACAGCCAGTTCTGTATACAGTGTTGCGTAATGGAACCCAGTGATGTTTTTTCTGGGTTAACTGTCCATTGTCCTCAGCACATGTGTGCAAGTCCCAATGGTTTCCGTAGGCAGTTCATGATTGACAACTTCAGTTAGCCACATTTGAGCCCCAGAGATCATTTATGTTGACCTGTTAAAGTATAATAACCTGTAGAGGTGTGTCTGAGTCAGGGAAGGTACCGAGTTTGTTATGTATCCAAAATATAAAGAATATATGGACATTCCCTCATATTTGACAGTACCCCATGTCACTTCTGGAGTTCAAAGCTGACTCAGAGTCTTTAAAGCTTACCTCCTTTCCAGGCAGACTCTCCTCCATTCAGGAGACTGTACCTCTATCAAAGTAGAGCAAAAAATGATCTTCCAGGTAGGTCAAGTCTTGCGACTTTTATCAAAGAAACGATAGACCTGTGTCTGACAGAGAAACAGGAGACTCAGTTCTGTAATGTCCCTGAACAGTACTACACTAGACCAGGAAAGCAGTTTGTGCCAAAGCTCAATGGGATCAGCAGCCTCTGGAAATGTGTTAATAGACTAAAAGTGGAGTACTGGCCACCACAGACTACACTGGCCAAATTCTGGTCTGAGGTTGACATCAGTGCAATTGCACAGAGAAAGAGCAAGGCCTATGTGGTGGTCTTGGAGGCTGTACTATCTGAATGATGGGCAGTGGCTCATTGAGAGTGTTCTGCTTATCCTGTTTATTATATTGAAAATGTTGTTCATATCTGCAGACATCCATTGAAATTGCTGGATTAAATTGCCCGGCATTATGGGCTACAATACTGTAAACCTCTGCCTGATTCTTTTTTCTGCCTCATAAATGAATGGTATTTCAGTTATTCATTCTCAGGAAATAGTTCTGCTATAAATAAAATTGCAAAGCTGAGCAGGAGAAGGAGTTGTGACTCTGAAGCCAGCGGCTGATCTGACCTTATTAGTTGTATTTTGGAAAGCAGCACTTACCTCTGGGTGTCCTACCAACACCTTCTCTTTGCAGGCTCTCTCTAGTTACTACACCTGTGCTGTTGCCTGTCTTTCTGAAGCAGACACACACGTGTGTTTATCTGACACGAGGCTTACCCCAGCACTTCCTGACAGGGGTGGGAACAGTCATGAATCAAACAGCAGGTTTTCTTTGGCATGTCCAAATGGGAGAATCAGTTGAATGGTTTGGCCCTAAGACAAAAAGTAATAAACCCGAGGAGTGTTTTTATTTGTTTTTGCATGTCTGATGCAATTTGAAAGCCTCTTCTGCTTTGCAACATCGGGGTCAATTTATAGGAGGGGAAAGAACAGTCAGTTCAGACCTATCGACTTAGCAAATCGGTCATCCCGAATTTCAAACAGTTGTTGTCTCTTTGTGAGCAACTCCTGTCACTTCAAAGGGGTCATTAGTTGTTGGTTTGCAGATGGCGATAACAACTTTAAAGCAGTTCTGCTGAATTGTAATTTTGCTTCTTGCTGACAGATATCATCAGAGTGAGAACAGTCCAGAGCAAAGTGGGTGCTATCGTCATTGTGTTGATGAGAACATTGAAAGGAGAAACCACTATTTGGATCTTGCAGGAATAGAAAACTACACATCAAAGTTTGGGCCAGGTAATTTATGTTGCAAGCTTGTTTGCCTCTTCTTTCTTCAGCTACATGTTTCACATCAGGGGCAGTGAATTGTGAACCTATGTGATTTGTCTGTAGTGACTTCCTGGAAGGAATAGGACTGTGAATACTACACGATATTTACTGGTGGAGGTGGTATCACAACGGAGTGGCTAATGTGCTGCAAGCCTGCTTTGAAGTACTTGTTTGTGTAGCTAAAGTTGGAGGTGAGCCTAGGAGAACAATCTCTGGATCTAAATTACGTTTAATCTATGGGCGAGGCAAGGACTTACTTTTAGATGTCGGAGCTTGTTACCAAGATGATACCAGCACATATTTTATATTCACTACTGACCCCAAAATAGGAGAACACTTGGAATTTTGGCTTCTGTGCCTGAATTAAAGGGATTTGGATTTCCTCCCTTTCCCACTTGTGTGCCAATAGTTTACTATTCCAGTCAGCTATTTTGGTGAATTTCAGATAGATGACTGAGAGAAGATAACGTAAAGATTTGTATATGCACACACACACACTTCACCCTTACATTGATATGTACACGTATTTGTGTGTGTATTATTTACTAGTCAGAATTATTAAATGTAATTAGACTAGACAGCTATAATTGCATTCACTTCCTTAGGAAAAATTCACTCTGCCGATGATGCTATGCCTGCCAACTGCATGCTACTAATTAGAACTTTGAAATAGTAGATGACTAACTCAGTTTGTTATTTCCTAGGATCTCCTCCACCAGCTCAAAAACATGACCCACCAAGCAGAGTTGTGAGTCAAACTAGATCCCGTTCTCATGAACCTGAAACCTTCTATGCTCACCATAGGAAATCTCAAGTGGTGGATCCAAGCCACATCAATCTGGCTGAAAGTTCATATGCCAAGATTGCAGAAATCCAGCAGAGGCTCCGGAACCAGGACTCAAACAAGCACTTTGTGAGGTCTCCCAAGGCCCAGGGCAAAAACATTGCTCCTGTGCATCCTGGAAGGGCAGTCAGAAATAAACCTTTTCAAGGGGCACCCATGCCAATGGCTTCCCCAAGTGCACGGGTAGGCCAGAACCTTTCTTACCTCCCCTTGCAATCTCAACAGGTTCACAAGAAGCATAAGCAGAGGGCAAAGGAGAATCACCAAATGTGCAAAGCGTTCCAGTCTCCAGGGACAGTTATGGAAAAGGAACATGTGAGAGACCTGCCCACAGTCATTTTATATGAAGGCCAAGTTGGACAAATGATACAAAGGCATGAACACCACCACCACCATGAGCACCACCACCACTACCATCACTTCTACCAGACATAGAAGAGATCCCACAAAATCCTCCAGGAATCATCCCACATGAAGGAAATGTGTTCTTGTGATACCAGAACTAAGGCATTACTATGATTAATATTATTGTTACTCCATTGCTATTCAGCTAGCATATATTTTAGAGGTTATATGGAACTCTTGAAACTTACCCTATTTATATGTTGTGGAACTACATAGCTTACTTAAACACCTTGTGGATTTTTTTTTTTTCCAAGTGGCTTGTAAAACAGCAAACAGCCGTAGCTTTTTGAGCTGTGATTTAATACAGGTTGTCAACGCACTTCTTTACAAGTACTGCTTCCATTGCAGTAGGAGAGATTCTTCAAACACTCTTGCAGACATCTAGCTTACCACTCTGCTGTATGTCGGCTGATCGCACACAAGCCTTTTATCAGGGGAGCAATGTTGGAAGGGTTGGACTCCAGAGATACTAGGAATAATGGAAATACAAACAGCTGCTACCTCTAGTATTATTCAGATTTTATTTTCTTTTTATTGATTGTAATGTGCTGGGGGAAGGGACGGGGAATATACTGCATTCATGTAGCCTGTTTGTGTTCACATCCTTTCAAATTATTTTAATTGCAAGGAAATGTTAGCTGTACTTGTCAACAGAGCTACATTTGTACAACTTACACTTTATTTTCTTGGAGAATCTTCACTGCCACAGTCTGTTACATACTGGGTAATATTTAAATAGACTTTATTTGGGGGTTTTCTTTTGCTTACTCTCCATTCTGTTTGGGGTAACTATTGGAAAAGAGGAGGATGTGAAATGGGGTTTTTCAAAAGCATCACTAGACTTTAGTGCTTGGGCCATAAGTATCATTCTTGGGGGTTTGAGGAGAGGGGCTGTTCGGGGTTTTTGTTTTGTTTAAATCCACAGTTCTTTGTTTTCAGAAAGAATTGAGGAAAATATACTTTCTCACTTTAAATGTTGGCAAATATATATAAAATATAAATATAAATATATATATATATA